ACTCACCAGAACAGCACTATAAGCCTGAATGACTATATATTTGTTTTCCTTTGCTTCCTCCTTTGGCTTGCATAAGGATTTGTTAGGGTGTTCAGTTCAATCAGAGGGCCTTTTGATTCCAGAGTGGAACTTGAAAGTTTTTACTTGGTTTGTTTTTTGACCAGTGAAATTTTCCAGAGACAACTCATAGACTATGACAGTCTTTTCTCTATGGCATCTGTTCATCTGGAGCCCTGGAGAAAAAGGAGGAGGATCCTATCCAATGGGCAGAGCAATGGGGTCTGGCTTCTTGATGCTCAAGGCAGGTCTGAAGGTAAAGAAGGCCAAGTGGCCTAGTCCTTATGATCCCTGGCTTCTTGGGGCGCAGTACTTCTGTTGTCTCATTATGGAGAAACAGAATATCTGTTAGCATGAGCAAGTGTACAGCCCAGAAAGCCATCAGTATCCTGTACCAGGCCTTCTGGGGACTGGTGGGTCCTGTGGTCAGCAGGGGCTGGGCTACCCATGGACAAGTACTCCTTTTTAACACCAAGCCCAAAAAGGAAAATCACACATTTCATTTGAGATATGATACTGGAGCCCAGGACCCAATGGCTATACTGTAGTCAAGCCATATCAGTCAACTGTATAACCCATGTCATGTGTTTCAACCACTTAAGCTTCCCCCTGAGTCTAGCACTTCCTACCCTTGCACTGGCCCTCACACACATGGAATCATTGTTCATCATATTGGAAAGTACCTACTCCAGGAGAAATTCTTTCTCAGTTATGTAGTGGTGGGTCTAAAGAAGCCTAGAGACGAAAGTTGAGTTCACTTAGGGAGCTCCAGTACCAGCCCAGGGGGTTCCAGGACACCCTCATCAAGGCGTCTGTTGAGAACTCTGCTGAATGCTTAAAAGTCTAGCAGTTGCATTCCTTTTCTTTGGCGGGGGGGAGGGCGAGGCAGGGGGGGGATGTGGGGGGGGGAAGGAAGGTCTGGTCGTGGGGCCTGAACTCTGGGCCTGGGCGCTGTCCCTCAGCTCTTCAGCTCAAGGCTAGCGCTCTACCACTTGAGCCACAGCACCACTTCCAGCATTTTTTTCCTTTTTGTTTATGTGGTGCTGGGGAATGGAACCCAGGGCCTCATGCATGCAAGGCAAGCGCTCTATCACTGAGCCACCTTCCCAGCCCCTGAATGCTTAATAGTCTAAATGGTGGAAATGGAATTAAGATCAATCAACATCATAGAACTGGTTTGGACCAATTGAACCTAAGCTTACAAGTGATTTTAAAATTCCCCTCCTAGACACTTTTAAAATTTGAGAAGCCAGTGGTAGCCAACTTTTGTTGGCTTTTTCCCCCCCTCCTGCATAAAAGACTGAACAGCTGTCTGCCTGTTCTTAAGGCATTTACAGCTGCACAAAGAAGCATATGACTCCATCTAATAAGTGCCTGGCAATCAGCAACCACTCTAATTGCCATACGGGTAAAGAGGTGGAAATTTAAACCAAGTAGATGCTAAAGTGTTATAGGAAGGTGGAGAATGTATGGAAGCGTCCAGGCGTGAGAGGCAAGCACAGAAATGTGCACACAAGCCTTTCTCAGGAAGAGTCATCCCCACAGCCTAGAGAAGCCAAGGTAAACGTTTGGAGCAGCTGCCTCCTGCAGCATTTACCCCACCAGGAAACACATCCCTTGCTCAGGAAAGTATGGCTACCACTAAAACACTCAAGATTCCATCTAGGTTTCCTTCTCCTCTCAGGTGGATCACAGTCAGCCCCAGTAGTGAACTTTCTAAGCAGCCTTTTTCCCCCATAGTGTGAGCTGGCTGGGAAGGGAATAGAAGGGATTTTATTATCACATCTAAGCTCATGCTCTTACACAACTACCATGGCCCAGCCCCTTCATCGATGAGAAAACTTGAGGCTCAGAGAGGGTCAATGGCTCTGCCAGCCAGGGGTCACAGGCACCTGAATCCAGTGATCTTGGGTCCTCCAGACAATGAGGTCTCCACAGTGAGTTTGTCTCAAGCGTGATGGAGCAAGCGGTATAATTTTTAGAGCTAATTGTTAGGCAGTGGCTATGCATTACGGGCATTACCTAATGATGGGTTTGTCTCTTAGCATTTACATGGGAGGGAAGAACACCCTAGAAGATATTCCTCGGTCACCCCTGATTCCTTCATCTACAGAACAAAGGGCCTGGGACAATGCTTAAATGTTCTACATGGGACCACCTGTGACTTAAGAGAAAAATGTAGGGGTGATCACCCAGAATTTGCATGGCTCTTGTTTCCAGCCCTTTCCTGCACAGGATCTCTCAGACCAGGACAACTTAGCAATACATTTAATTGATGCTTTGAAGATTTCTGGGTTTCCAGAGTCAACCTGTTCAAAGGAAATACCCTTAAACTTTTATTGGCTCACACCTTGGCAGTAGTTGGCAGCTGCCTGAGAATTAGGCCCAGGGCAGTGGGAAACAGGATAGAGAGGGTTTGGAAAAGTCACAGGGAAAAAGAAAGGTTGGAGGGGGGGGGTCTACTGCCCTAGGATGAAGGTGAGCTTCCTCCCCACCCCAGCAGAGACCAACTTTGCCTAAGAGAGCCAAAGGCAGAAAGGAATCGAAACTAAAAAAAGAAGCAATGGAAGCGATAGAGAAGAAAGATGGAATAAACCAACCATCAGAGGCTCTTCGATCTTAATTCGTTTTATTCTACAAAAATGCTACTCAACGGAAAGTGAAAAAGCGAACAACAATTAAAAAAAAACCCGCGAGGGAAAAGAATTTAATATGTTCTTTCTTCCATAGCAGCAAGCTTTTTCTAACAAGCTTTCTTTAGTGCAAATACTGTAGCCTTGTGTTACATACAGTACAACCACAGAACAAAACAACAACAAATACCACCAGAGATGCTTCCAAGCAGAGCTACTCTTCAATTTTCAAAAGTATACAAAGATGTTGAGCTAGCTCATGGTCCTGCCTGGAGAGGACAATTTAAGAGATTCTCCAGGAGGATCATTTCGCCATGACTTAAAAAATGGTGCCCAGAAAGGTAATTAAATTCCCCCATGGAGCAACAGAAACCTTGTACTGCCTCCAGGGCCTAATAGCAGACTTCACTCCACATCATTGACATGTCTCAAAATACAGATGCACAAAGCTTATGGATTTCCACTATATACCAAAATACTATATATACATCTCTCACTGCAAAAGACACCCTGATACCTAGTCTTTATACAAAGTCGCATATTTTCTTCCTGAAAAAATCAAGTAACCACAAACTAAGTTAAATGGAATAAAATTTTAATCATATAGAGACAGTGATTTTTTTTTGAGGAACGGCACGGGGTCTTTTTCATTGTGCCCTCTTACATAGCAGGGTTCGTGGAAGCCACTGTCCCCAGAGGAATGACAAACCATCTCTAAAACCAGAACTTTTTTTTATACAGTTTATACAGCACAAGTCACAAATCACTTTAGAAACAAAGAAAGCATCATTATCCTAAGTTTAAAAAAAACAGGAAGTGAGAGAAAGAGAACGAAGAGAGCAACTGAGTATTTTAATGCTATCTGTTTTCTATTCAGGTTTGGTACAACATAAAGAAGATGTAAACATTTAAAATAAATAATAAAATAAATGTCAATTTCTTCTCCCCTTCCCCTTCCCATTATGCAACACCCCCCCCCAATCAGAATTTGACCCAATCCCTCCTGAACACGTTGTCAGTACTGGGACATTAAAACCCTTCGTTGATGCATGATCAAAACACTACAAGCAAGAGAAGATGCCAAATTAGTAGTGGGATGACTGGATTTCCTTATAGGGAACTGCAGGACACACCTGGAAATGCACATGAGCGTGCAAATACACACACACACACATACACACACACACTCCAAATTGTCAATAAATAGTGAGATGCTGGCTTTTAACATGGATGTCAAAAAGACTCAACAAGCAGAATGCAGAAAGACCCCTTTACTTAAAGTTTTACAAAGCAATTATACACACCACTTTTCCTATTGGTCCACAAATTCTGTAAGGCCTTGGGTTGCCCCTCCAGCCATCTGAGGTGGACAGAAGAAAATTAAAAAGTAGGAGTCCAAGAGTAGGGTGGATATTACAAGGTATGGGTCTTTGAGAACAAACCTTAAACTGTAGGGAATCCTACCAGGATTTGAAGAGACTTCTCCCTTCTAAGTGTTTGTTTAGTCATTACTTGGGGGCCTTTAGTAAGGGGATGTCCTCATCCCTCAGTCTCATCTTAAAGATGATAAATATAAAAGTGCCTTACAGTGCCTGGCCCATTGAGGTGCTTATTCTTTTCATCCCCCAAGGGGCCATGTGGATGTCTGATTCAGGGAGGAAAAAAAAATCAACTTGAAAGTTAAATGGTAAGATCGCAAGGAGCACTGTTGGTCCATTGAGGAAAGGGGAGAAACAAGCCCCAATGCCCGCAGCTCCCCTTATACTTGGAGCCAAGTAGTAGAAGGGATAGGCCTCTTTTCTCAAAGCCTAAAAAGCAGCAGCAGACCCTGACAGCTCTTGACTTTGAGATGTCTGTGTGGCCGGCCCCTGTGGGCACGCCAGGCCTCTCCCACAAGCAGAGTAATGATCAACTCTTTCTAAACACCTCCCCAGAGAATTCTGTACTTAAGAGTTGGCTCTGGCAATTTCCTAAGCTTCACCCGGGATCTGCTTTCTTTCCTGTGTCAACAACAAGTCTCCATCTACCCAGTTCGGGGGAGGGCTGTTCCCAGAGAGGCCAGCCAGGTGACCATGAAGACTGTTTCATGCTCATCGATCAAGGAGTGCCTGCCCTATGCCAACCCAGGGCTGCCCGCAGCCCAACCTGAGCCCACACCAGCTGCCTTGTGGTTAGGACCACGAGGAGACACAGCACGAAGGCTTCCCCACTACCCATTCCCTTAGCTGGAGGGTCCAGCAGGCTGGGTGGTAGGGAGTTTGGATTGAGGGAGGGAGGGAGGAAGGGAGGGTGTGTGTTTGTGTGTGTGTGTGGTGTGTGGTGTGTGTGTCTGTGTGTGTGTGAGAGAGAGAGAAATACAGAGAGAGAGAGAAAGAGAGAGAGACTGGTATGTAAATTTGGAGAGCAAACCAGAAGGTTTGAATATTCAGCCTTCCTCAAATAACTTCTGGCCTTGGGGGAAGCCAAGCAACCTCCTAGAACAAAGCAAAGGAGTTGCTGAAGGAAAAGCACCTCAGAGGCTCTGCACTCTTGGCTGGCTGAGCCTTCTGCTGGTGCCCATGCCAACACATTGACATTGGAATCTGAACTGAAGCCAGACTCGCTCAGGACTGTCCAGCTGGGCCCCAGATCACACAGCATGACCTGCATCGGATTGGGGCTGCACAGAGGGCAGTGACAAGGGGCTCTAAGAAACAAATGAGCAGAGAGTAGCTCCACGGAAAGAAAGAGCTATATGCACAAAGAAGCAAATGGCTTCTGCTTGGCTACAAATACCACTTGAGATGATGAAGCTGTTCCTCACTGAGAGCACCCTGGGGGTTCTTTGCCCTCCTCTGCTACCTGGCTCCCTTCTGCCGTTTTAATTTTTTGGAGGCCAGTCTTCTTCTCAGGAGCACCCTTCACAGAGGCTCTGGGAAACCTGAAACATCACAGCAAGGAGTATGGGAACGATCACGTGTATTCAGAGCAGTCTTTTTGCTTTTCCATCCCGTCTCTCTACCAAGCCAGCCCCTGCACGTCACTTCGGGTCCTAGCCGGGCTGTGTGTTAAGCCCTTCCATCCCGCGTGTCTAGTGTGTATGTAAGTGGGTGGTGAAATAAATAATGACCAGCATGTGTAAAGGGAACGTGTCTCTCTCCACAGTCAAGACTTGGAAACTTGATTTAAGTTATTTATATTAGAAATTGTTTTAAATAGTGGACGATGGTCTCTAGAACTGAATTGCCACAGTGAATCTCCCTCAGAGGCCAGTTCTGAGCAGACATGCTTCCCAGGACAAGCATCCACAGGCTCTGGGGAGAAAGGGCTCTGCTGAGGCCTGCTCTTGCCAGAGGCCTTGCCACCTGTGGGAAGGGCAGCTCTCCTGCCGTGGGAAGCAATGCATCCTGGCTCCAACCTCAGCAGCCCACCCCAGATACCCCAGAATGGTGCAGAAATCCCCAAGCCCCAGCAAGACCTTGCTGGGGCCAGCTTCTCACAACTAGCCAACTGGACCAAAAGAGCCCCCTGGGGTGGGACAGGGAGCAGGTGGAAAAGAAAGCTCTGGATCAGTGAAGTGGCAGAGACCACAGAGAGCAGAAGGGGACCTGCACCTCATTGAGCTGCCAGAGAGGCTGCTGTGACATGACCCCTACCTCCACCTTCCCCAATCCCCCAGCCCTTCTACCCTTCGACGTTTGCAGAAGAGTCACTTGGTCAGAATCTGGGGAGGGTCCAGACCCGTGCTCAGCTCATGAAATCCAAAGGTGGTGTCACCCTGACAACCAGGGAACGGCAGGGCCCAGCAGGGCCTTGGAGTGATGTATGGTTGCTCTGGAGAGAAGGGTCCAGGGGCAGAATGGTGAGGCAGTAGTTACAGGAGATGCCCTGCCCAAGACACCAGGTGGAGGGAAGTTGGCTAGGACACCTGTGTAGATTTGTTGGCACTTTTCCTGGGCTGGTAATTAGGCATTTGGCAAACCCAACCTGTGCACGGCCGTGGCACTCACACCTCATCTTCTGGCCCAGCTGATGCATCTCCGAAGTGGGAAGGAAGTGTCCTTGGTGCTTGCTGGGCAACGGTGGTGTCCCCTGGAGAGCTCAGGGAGCCCCGCTGGGGGTCTGGAGATGGCGTTGGCACCGTGGGGAGTGTTGGGGAGAGAAGGTTCTGTATTGCACTTTGCCTGCCCCTTCTGGACAAGGTGGCCCCAGCAGAAGTGTCATTTGCTGCCTCATCTCCAGAAATGAAGGGTGTGAATATCCAGACCACCCAGGTGAAATGTCATGGCAAATTTCATCAAAACCAAGAGGGACTGAAACTCACACTGGGGGAGGGAAGGGACCAGTCAAAGTTAGGAGAACCCAGAAGGCACGGAGCATGCTTGGTGGGGTACGGGGAGGACATCAGCACTCCAGAGACAATAGCATATCAAAGGGGGGGGACTATGTGGGCCAGCTCCAGGCTCTCTTCAGCAGCCAGAGTGATGTCTTGAGTCTACTGAACCAAGTCCTCCATGGCTTTCGAAAACAAAAAAGAAAAGCAGGATTTGCTCACAAGATGAACAGGGAAGAAGGTTCCATGGCTTCCGAGAGATCAGCCCAAGTCCTCCAATGCCTCACTGCCAAGTCCCACCTGGGTCTCCCCCAGGGCCAGGAAGCTCCCTGGCAGAGGACCCCACCCCCACCCCTTCTTGCTCTTGACAACGCTGGTCCCTGGGAAGGAGGCAGTGATGAGTGCAGGGTTACAGGGCTAGCAGCGTGGGGGAGTTCAAGGAGTCTGATGACTGATCTCCACTGCTACTGCTTCTGCGGTGGGCCTTGGAGCAGGACTCGGAGGGTGACGCAGGCGACTCCTGTTCCAGAACGCTGGGGTAGGTGAAGACGAGGTTCGAGGTACCCGGGGTGATGGCAGGCGTGGAGGTTACCACGATGGGGGTGTGCAGGGGCTCCTCCCCGTAGAAGCCCCCAGCGATGCTGATGGGCTTGATGACAGAGCGCTGGGCCTTGTCCAGCCCCGCCCCTGAGGAAGAGGGGCTGTCCTCTTCCAGGGGCTCCTGTTTCACCACCACGGCACCCACGGTGCTGACCCCACTGCGCATGGGCTGTAGCCCAGAGGCCGGGGGTGACCGGCGCTCCTCAGGGCTGATCTTGCACACAGGGCCGTGAGCCACCAACATGAACTCCAGCTTCTCCTTCTCCTTTTGGAGCTCTGCGATCTCCTTCTGCAGGCCCGACTTCTCCTCCTCCAGCTCCTCTGTCTCCTGCGGGGTCAGGGGAGGAAGAGAAGGATACGAGGGTCAGTCCAGTCCAGGAGAGTAAAAGAAAGCCAGTCGAGTCCTCAGAGCATCTACTAAGAGCCGCAGTTCACACACTTGGCCCAGACAGGTGTGAGCCACATGATCCCTTTTATTTCTAAAAGAGGAGAGGTGGATTCGAAGAGTGGTAAAAATAACCATTGTAGCCGCACCGTCATTGAGGGCTTATTTTATGTAGGCATTGTAGTGAGTGTATCATTTCATCATTTATCTCATTCCATCTCCCAGGAGGTTTTGAGAGTGGATGTTATCAGCAACCCATTTGGCAGATGAGGAAACCAAAATTCAGAGAGATGTAATAATTTTTGCCCAAAGTCACACAGCTCAGAAGTACAGTCCGGACTTCAATCCCAATGTATCTGACTCTGAGGTTCTGTACTGCTTCTACAGCCTTGGTCCCTCTGCCCCTGTAGTAATAGAGAGATGCATGGAGTCTGTCTCTCCCTCGCTCCTTATCTCTCTCTCCTACTCTTCAGCCCTGTGCCAGTCTACCTGTGGATGGAGAGACGGAGCCCATACTAGAGGAGCGTGCAGGGGTGCACAGTCCTTTATCCTCAGTGCAAGGACAGCACTTGGCTCATATAAATGCTCAGCAAATCCCTTTTGGCCCCTTCCTTTGTTGTTCTAATTTCTGAAATCGGTGTACCAGGACTCACAGAACCTCAGAAAACACTCAGTCCAGCCACATGTTTGACAGAGGCCTGGAGAGCCTTTGAGATGGTCACCCTGCAATGACCTCAACCCTCTTCCTTCACACAGAGCCAGAGCAATGAGCCATGTTTAGAGAGGGGACAATACATGTAGGTGGGTATGTGTTTGAGGGGGGGGTGTGCGTCATCAACCTCCTCCCCAATTTTTCCCCAACACAGATTCCCGTTTGTGAATGAGGAGATACGAGCATGAGCTTCATTAAACAGAGTGTAGCATATTCCGGAGTGAAAAAAAAAAAAGTTTCCATCTGTCTCAAGGGGCTGATGAACGTCATGATCTTGCGAGAGGCTTCCTGTGCAGGATGTGGCTCAGGGACCTGGGTGGCAGGTCAGGTGCGGGGGAGGCGGGGGAGGAGTAGGGTGAGAGGGGAGGAAGGCAGAAGCACCCTGCCCTGGGGCTGATGGTGAGGAACACCTGGGGAGACACTTCAGGCCTGGCTGCGGAAAGTTCCAGGCTGGAGAAGGGCTAGCAGTGGGGAGGGCGCTGTTGAGGGGAGGGCCCTGCAGGAGAGAGGGCCCTGCTGAGGAAGTCACAGTGGTGTTGACGATTGCTCTCTCTGGTCTACCTTATCTGAGGGGGAAGCAAGCTCAACTCTCCAAAACCTCCAGGAGACAATATGGAATTTGTAAAGTCCAAGATGGAAGGCTGAAGGATGAACAGCAGGGTTCATCCTTAGGGGAGGGGCTAGTACCTGGGAGGATTAAAGGAAGGGGTGGATGGGGTGTTTTCTAAAGCCCTATCCTAACTTGCCATTGTGAGGCCCACTGACAAAGTCTCTCTTCACATTGAAGATATTCTGCCCAGAATATTCTACACAGGAGTCAGCCTTGGTTTCAGACTTCCTACAAATGGTCCAGAGCAAGCTTATCCCCAGGTCTGAGCAATTAGGGAGCATGAGAAAGTGACTCACAGGGAAGACTGAGGTACCAAGGCTCATGAAGGACATGAGAAAACCACAAGGAAGTACACTGCAGCTGACATGCGGCCTGCCCCCACCCTCCACATCCCAGAGTGTTTAGGGTGGCTGGGGCCTTGGAGGCAGCCCTGGAGGGGCAGGTCTGGATCTGCCCTGGTTCCTAGGATCAGACAATACCCACACCCTCTGCCATCCCTCATTCAGAAGCCCTGGCAGAGAGCAGTTCACACTCAGGCACCGGGTGAGCAAAAGGCACTGACCCACGAAGGCTGTCCAGTTTTCTGGAGGCCCAGGCTAGTGGCAAAGGCCACTTGATTCTCTTTCCCTCTGTCATTAAGCAGGGTACTCAGAGGAAGGGATGTTCTCTGGCCACTGACTCATCGTAGGGCACTTGTGAGCAGGGAGAGGGCTGGGAGGGCCTGGGGCCCTCTGCCCACCCAGACGGCTCCCACCCTGCACAACTCCTCACCGCCTGCAGCTTCTCTGTCAGCTCCCGACGACGGTTCCGGCACTTGGCTGCAGCCAGCTTGTTCCTCTCTCTCCGGATCCGACGCTTCTCCTCCTCTTCGGGAGATAGCTAGAAGCCAAGGTCAAGAATCATGAGTAACATGGGGTGGATGGTTCACAGCATCTTAAAAACCATTTTAAGCTGAGCTCACGCCTATAACCCTAGCTACTCAGGAGGCTGAGACCTAAAGATTATGGTTCAAAGCCACCCTGGGGAAGGAATGTCTATGAGACTCTTATCTCCAATTAACCACCCAAAAACCAGAAGTGGCACTGGGGCTCAAATGGTAGAGTGCTTGCCTTGAGCTGAAGAGCTCAGGGACAGCACCCAGGCCCAGCCCCACAACTGACAAACAAAAAATCATTTTAAGTAAGGCCAGCAGAACCTTCTGGAACTTGGGAAAGGGAGGATGGAGGACAGAGGATTTGTTGGCCGGGCTCATGCAGCTGGCCACTGTGTGCATGCCTGGAGGAGACTTATTGCTAAGACCCCTCTAGAAGATGATGTGCTTAAAAGAGTAGGGCAATAATAGGTCGGAGACTCTCCCTGATCCCTGCAGAGGGAAGCAGTTATCATGTCAGATCTGATTCAAAACTCAGGCCAGACGGGAGTCCCCTCCAGCTAGCGGGCCTGGCCCCACCTGCCACTGTCACTTCTTCCCAACTATGGTTAATTATCCTGCCTGCTTTGCGAGCTTCATTATCCCCATTTGGTTATGTAGCTGGGCCAGAGCGGCTGGGCAAAGTGAGACCCACGCAGGGGGGAAATGTTCTGTTGCCGGTGGAAGGGCCGTAGCCCATGGCCACCAGCTCTCAGACCACCCCTAGGACTTCCCAGTGAGCCTGGCACAGGGACAGGCAGGGCAGGATGTGCAAAAGGAGAGCCCTCAGCTACACTGAGTCCTGCTGCCCACCTTCCCATTCATTCACCATGTAAGCACCTTCTGTGTGCCAGACAAGCTTCCTCCTCAAAGGAGGACCCCACTACAAACAGCTCAGGGCCCGATCCCTGGTGATGAGGCTCACTCAGAGTCCCTTCCCAGCTGTGGCCCCAGTGCCCCTCTGAGGCTCAGGTGACTCAAGGAGATGGCTGTGAACCAAAGCAAAGAACTTCTCCTGCAGTGACCTAATGCACAACAATTACAGCCCCAAATGCTGTTCTGGGAGCTTAGAAATTCCAATAGGAAGAGAACCCCAGGCCTGTTCAGAAAGACAGCTCGGGGGCGGGGAGGAGAACTGAAGCCGCTTTTGGAGGAGAAGCAAGATTCTGCAGAAGCAAGCAATTCTGCCTTGACTGCTGACTCCCCCAAAAGTGGTCCTGTCCCCCCACTGTCCTAGAATCACAGGTGCCCCTTGTCAGTCTGTTGCTGTTGTGTCCTGAAAGAAGACAGTCCCATGCCTGCTGAAACAGAGGTGACCCCGTGGCCTGGCCAAGGTCAGGAGGCCACTTGACCACTAGTTGACTGTGTCTCCACACAGGTCAACAGGGTTACCAAGAGAGCGCAAAGCCATGCTGTAGTCCTGGGTCCAAGGCAAGAGCTCCCAGAAGGCCCAGAAAGCTCTGATCCTTTCCCCAGCACTCAATGCTGAGGCACAGAAAGCAGAAAAGACTGGCCATAATCCTGAGCTTTTCTCACTGTTTGATGACTTTGGGTTTCCCAAGTCGCTCCCGGAGGTGTGGGGCAACTCGTGGGCCCTGATGCCAGAGGAAGTGTCAGGGTGAGATCAACCTGGTTATGGCTTGAGCGAGTCAGCATCACCAGGGGCCCACCCACAAGCCACACCCGTCCTGTCCACCTGCCTCCTCAGCCCCGGAGCCCCAGCTAGAGGTAGCTTTGTAGGAAAGCTGAGTACTCTTGAGCTGGGGGCTAGGCAGGGAGAGGGGTAAGCCACCGAGAGAACCTGGGCTCAGAACCCCCAAATCAAGGCTTTAAAATATTTGCTCCCCAGGTTTCCACAAGGCTGCCTCCTCATGGATGAGAGGGACAGAGGGCTTTGTCTCTCTGTCCCTTTCCAAAAAAAGTTAAGGAATTCCCCAGACAGATCATCTTAGAGCCTACCTAGGTGGTCAAATGGAGGAGGGAAGTGGGGGGACACACAGAGCTGAAGGTCCAAGAGAAGGATTCTAGTCCTGGCACTGCTACTAATTCACTGTGTGACTCTGGATAGGGCCCTTCACCTTTCTGGACCTCAGTTTGTTTATCTATGAGATGGGTACAGAGGACAACTGTGAATAGAGTATCCAGAGTCCCTCCCAAATATAAACTAAGTGTGGTGTGGGGCAGCCCCCTGCAGAGAGCGTAGCAGCGTGCTCAGCACATCCTGGCATCCTACTAGTCCACAATGGCTCCTATGAGCCCGCCTTGCGTTTGGGATTACTTAGACCCTAGGGGAATCTGGCTTCTGGGTGTTGATGGGGCCACTGTGAGCTCTCCTGTGGCGTCCTACACACATTCATTTCCCTGTGCGTCCTGTCATTCTCATCCCACCATTAATGTGCACTAGATGCCTTGTCCTCCAAGGAACAGGACTCCTGAGGAGACTTCTGGTTCCCTATAACTCTGTATGCTAAACAATACTTGCCCTGGGCCCACCATTATATACTGGAAACCATGCTTAAAAGCCCTGTACTACAACTTCAGGGAGCCTGGGAATCCGGAGTGGAAACGGACAGAGGTTGGATGGTAAAGCTTCTAGTACTGTGAGTACTTCTCCAGGTTCACATTTCATGGCTGAGGGTGGGGGGGGAGGAAGAGTTCCATTGTGAATGTATTTTCCCTTCCCTGGGCTCACAGTAGCCTAGCCTTGTGGGAAGAGCACTATACAGGGAGTCCAGTCTAGACTTGCCCATTTACTTGCCATGAGAACCCAGGCAATGGAGTCTGGGCCAAAGACAGGGTCTTGGAAGGTATCAGTCTTTCCCTTTGGAATTACACATGATTCTAACTTCTCTTTCTGATACCAGGGCTAGCTCTCTGCTGATGGCCCTTTTGATGACTCAAGAGATGCTTCTTCCAAAGCAGAGGGCCCACCATTTTCTGACTTCCCTCCAGGCCAATCTGGCTCCCCCTCAAACTGAGCCCCAGAGTTCAAAAAAAAAGCTGATGTTTGTCCTCCCTGCCCCCGCTTACCTCCCCCAGATTCTGAAGGGGTTAAGCAGATTTCTCCCCCAGATTCTGAAGGGGTTAAGCAGATTTCTGGGGGCCCCGAGCCAGGACTCCTCAAGATTGCATTCTAGCACTTACAAGTGGGTGCTGCTTCCAGGCAAAGACTGACATGAAGAGGAATGGAAAGCCTTGTGGGCAGCACCACAATGAAAGATCCACACGCAGGGGGTTCAGTGGTGCTGGTCCCAGCCACAGGCAGGACCTGTCACTCCTTCCCATTCACTGACACTTCATACCCACAGTGTGATTTTTCCACTCATGATTTCCCTCAAGCGATGAATCCTGGCTGCAGAGACCATGATCCTCATTGTCTAACTGAGGAAATGGGGATGCAGAGATTCTGAGGGACACGGGTGGATGTCAAAGCCAGGCCTACTCAGGTCTCCAGCTCTGCCTTCAACACTGACAAGAATATGCTCCTCAGGGCTTAGCTTCATCATCTTCCCCCTCCCCAGTACTTCCAGAACATCCCGCCCCACCCCCCACCCCACCCTGCTACCCAGCAGTCTGTAGAAGAGCATTCTGTGCTTAGTCCACCAACATGGCTCCTTCCTGCCGTACCTGCTCATCTCTCCTCCTGCGGCCCACGGTGGTACCGATAGTTTTGATCACGCCGGGTCTGGGGAGCGCCATGTGCCCTGGGACAGAGGCCAAGCCCGGCAGGGGGCTGTAGGGATGTGAGCGGGGGTAAGGGTTGGACATGGAGGTGATCACTGTGGGCTGCACCATCCACTGCAGGTCCTGGCTGGTGGTGATGGCGTTGATGGTGGGGATGAAGGCACTGCCCGAGCCAGGCATATCTACCCGGAACTTCTGAAACCAGGAGAAAGGCATGATTGAGTCAAGAAACACTGAGTGAAACCAGACAAGCAGAGCTAACGCCAGAACCCACTGACAACAGGGCCAGTGGTTAGAGGGCAAGGCCAGGTCCCCAGGCAGGCTTCCTTAACCGCTCCTGGGGCTTTGTGGTGAATCCCTCCTTTGCTGGAGGTCCTGAGGGTGGCATTGCTCAGGTGGCTCCGTGAGGTGTCACCTGTCTCTAGTGACACCTAGGACACCTGTGAAACCTGGCTTCTCACTCAGGCTGCAGCCCTCCAGGGCTGTATCTGCAGGATGCAGCACCTGGCCTTCCTGAACCACTGAGTCACCTGCCAATTTTTCCCTAGGGTACTGGCTCAAGACCTTGACTGGAGACATACCCAGAAGCAGCTTTGAATGAAGAAAGATCACCAAGAAGCACATTCTCATCTCCGTTTTCACTTTCTAAGAAGTGTTCAGGAAGGGGGTATGAGCCCATCAGGGTAAGGACAGGCCCATGAGAAAGTGTCCTCTGACACATGAGTCTGCAGCTCATGGTGACACAGCCAGATTTCCTGTGGCTGACCTTGACCCTCTTCCTTCCCTTTGCCAGCATCTCTTTAGGGGTAAACGTGCTGTGCTCTCTCTACATAACTATCTATATATCCCTCTCTCTGGGTTCACAGATGTGTCTGCTCACGCTCAGTTTTCCCCTCATCTCTTAATGTATGCCCAGGTCACATTGCAGAACTCTCTGGATCATACTAGGGGAAGCATTCTTTTTAAGATCTGAGAAGATGATTGGGGACAAAAATGGAACCGGCCCCTCAGCAGTCAGGCTGATCCTTGTCCATAACAGCTACTATTCCCAGCATTTCAGGAGAAAGGCTCCCAATGGATCCTCATCCACAGATTATGTTTGTGTTCACCAAAAGGTCCCCCTTCACAGGTGAAATGATGATATACTAATAGCTAACACCCGAATGACCAGCCACAACGTGCTAATGTCTCACGCAGATTATCTCATTAATTCCCTCTGAGGTAAGTACAGTCATTATCTTCATTTTAGAGGCAGAAATTTAGTCTGAGAGAGATTAAGTAACTTACTCAAGGCCGCATTGCTAATAAATTTTGGAGTCAGGATTTCAATCCAGTTCAGCCACACCAGGCCATACAACCCTTGCTGGGTTTTCCCCCCTCAAAATCCAACCCTGAGTACTAGCATCCACCCCCACTGCGCTCAGATACAACAGGCCATCCTTGCTGCGGGTCTTTACATACCTTCCTTTGCACCAAGGAGGTACCATACATCTTGTTTGACCCCACATGAAATCGTACTATCATTAGTACAGATGCTGTAATATCGCCCTTGCTCTGGTCTAATCAGAACAACCAGGCTAACAGGCATCAGCAGCATCTACCTCTCCTGTCTTTGCTCCCCGTGGTCAATGTCAGGGCAGTAGTTGACAAAGCTATGACCCTTCCTTACCCCTACCTGACCCCAGGCTGGATGATGGAATGTGGCTGACTCACACTGCCCCAGGGCTGCAGCCAACAGCATTTAATAATGAGAGTGCCCAATACAATAGTCAGGACCAGGAGAGCTGCCCACAGCAATAGACTCTGGTTTCCCAGTGCAATGCATTCTGGGATTCCACAAGGAAGGTTACTCAGTGCAATGGATTCTGGGATTCTATAAGAAAGGTTACACTCAGTGCAGTGCATTCTGGGATTCTACAAGGAAAGTTACTCAATGCAGTGCATTCTGGGATTCTATGGGGAAGGTTACTCAAATACAATGAGTTCTGGGATTTTAGAGGACAGCTGGCTAGCATGATGGACACTAAGCAAAACAAAGAAACAAAAACCCTAAACTTTGAACATCTAACCAGGAGCCAATACTCCTCTGTGTGTGAAGGAAGAATGCAGAGACAAATGAGAAATGATCTTCAAGAGGAAAAAACTGGGTGATGGGCAGGGCTGCAGGAGATGTGAGAAGAGCATACCTAAGTACATGCCGAAGCACCACGTCCCAGACAGTGATTTTTTTCTCAGGCTGCTAGGTCAGGGGTGGGGAGTCAGCCCTGCACTTAGAGTCAAGAGGCCTGGGTTTGAGGTTTGGCTCAGCCTCAAAGTGCTCTGCCCAGCCAATCACTGAAGTTGAAATTCCAGAACAAAAAGGAGACACTCACATTGAACTCCCTATACTGTCAGAAGGATTAAATAAGCAGCTACTTGTAATCACAGGCTGCAAAGCATACCAGTGGTTCTCAACCCTGACTGAGAAAAATTTTGAAAAGCTTGTAAAACACACACACACACACACACACACACAAAACACCAATGTTGGAGCCTCATTGTTAGAGTTCTAATATAATTGGTTGGGGATAGAGGTCTGGGACAGGTTTTGGTTTGTTGGTTGTTTTTTGTTTTGTTTTTTAACTCTCAAGAAGATTCTAATGTGTGGCCAGGATTCTATTGGGTTAAGAAACACAGCTGTAAACAAATGGAAGATGATACCATCATCATCATCATCATCATCATCAACATCACCATCATCATCATCCCTACCACCACCATCATCACCACCATTATCATCATCAGCACCGTCATCATGTTATCATCATCATTACAAAGGTCTGTGTGCTCTGCTAAGGGTGGCTCCAGGAATTACCAGCCCCCCACTTATGTGGAGCACCCATCTTTTTTTGGGGGGTCCAGTCATGGGGCCTGAACTCTGGGCCTGGGCGCTGTCCCTCAGCTCTTCAGTTCAAGGCTAGCGCTCTACCACTTGAGCCACAGCACCACTTCCAGCTTTTTTCTTTTTGTTTATGTGGTGTTGAGGAATCGAAACCAGGGCCTCATGCATGCAAAGCAAGCACTCTACCACTGAGCCACCTTCCCAGCCCCTGGAGCACCCATCTTTTTTGTATTCCATTTCTTTCCCCAAGTTAGGTTGTGCAAGTAGACCCAGGACATCCGGTGCAGTGGCCCCCGGACATCTGGTGCAGTGGTCTAATATGACCACCTACTCCATGGGGTCAGCTGGCACCCACAAAGTGTACACACTCCAAGAAATAACCGTATGCTAGCTCTAATGGAAAAAATAATCCTGAAGCTAAGCTGGGAGACTGAAATTTCCTTAGGATGAGCGAGCACCTCCCAGACGCTCTCGGCCCTCCTGTCTACCTGCTCTGTGGAAGGCAGGTCCACAGAATGTGCTTCTTGGTAGACATTAGCCAGATTCCTTGCAGCAATGGCTTAGTCTAGACAAAACAAGACAGCAATAAAAACAAGGCAGGAGGTAATGACTGCCTCTGACATGCATGTACACCTTGTTTCAGACAGAGGTACAGCCATCTGGATAACACACTGGCTCCACACTGCAAGAAAAACAATGTCCCATCCCCAGAGGGGACTGAGGCTCCATAAAGAAGGCTTTTGTCTCCAGAGGAACCTCTCTGGGAGACAAAAGTTTCAATTAGATCGGACAGATGGATCTTGCCTCAACTCCAAAGGTGTTATTCAGAAAGCCAGCGACACTGAGGGAGAAGAGGGGACTGTGGTCCCACAAGTCACCCGAGCATTCTTCTACGCCAGCAGACACAAGAGTCAGTCAGGGATGATAAACTGTGGTTCTTCGTGAATGAGTTAACATTCAACAGAAAGCAAAACAATTTCCCTGATGCAGGCAACATTAGCTGGGCAGGTGTCAGGTGCAGGTGCGTGCACACATTGAGGGAATGGGACAGGTTATTTGTCTGGATCCCCTGGGGCTCTGTTACCCCCCTCCCTCCAGAGATCTTCTTCTGAGGACAGAACTGAAGACACTGGGTGGCAGGGTGGCATTCCAGCCAGGCAAAGTTTCCAAATACTTGGTGTTTCCCTGTCAACTTCTGGGTGAATGCCTATAAAAAGACAAAGCAGCCCCCACAGACCTTCAAGAGCAAGAGTTTCAAACACCACTGGAAGAAGCCTCGTAGGAAACCCTTGAAGCTTTCTGAACCATACAGTGTGTGTTGCAACTCGGCTCCATCACCACTGTCTGAAAGCAGCCACAGGTGATATGTAAACAAATAGGTGTGTCTGGGTTGCACTAAGCGTCATGTACAAAAATAGTTTGTCCTAGAGGATCAGTGTCATCTCCTAGGTTCAGAATCAAGAGGAAATAAGAAAGCCAAATCAGAACTATGATACCTCTCTAACCAAGGGAGCCCAGGGGATGGATGGCTTTCACTCAACAGCTTGGGTTGCTAGATGCCAAGTGAAGTTTAAACCCTTTCAGTTTTCTATGGGGTTATTGGGAGTGGGAATCTCAGTGGTACCCAGTAGAACTCAGTACCTGGGTACCATGGCTGCTTGGTGAGAATGCCCACACCCTTCCCATTGTTGATAAGACACAGCTGGGAAATCAAGGCCCCAGCCGAGAAGGACGGAGGAGACTCACAGTCCAGCAGTTGCTGACCTGGTAACCACAGCAGGGCTTTAGATTTCGATGTGTGACACCATAGTCTTTTGGATTTGGGCCCCCATTTTCTACAGGCATACATTGGGCTTATGCCAGGAATGAGCTGGGTAGACACCGTATTTGAAGCAAAAGGTGAAGCTGGTATTCTTGTTCCATGCCATCCTCCAGCAGAGATTTCTCCACTGGATTGATTCCTACTGGGCTCCCCAAGCATACACTATTTAAATTCTGGGGAAGGCAGGTGCAATGTCAAAGAATAACTAGCTCTTTTCTCTTTTCTAAATCCCAAGGTGGAGAAAGGAAAATTCCAACATCCCAGAAGGTCGTCTCAGGGGAAGAGAAAGAACAAAGGCGCACGCTGCCTCCACACTTCCCATACGAGCCCTGTCCAGGTCAATATCACCACTGGGCAGGTGCCCAGCGTCTTTGCTGAACCCAGATGGCCTCCAAAGCCTTCAGGATGGAAATCCACCAGTCTTCAGAGTCCACATTGGGCATCACTTTGACCTCTAACCTTTCTTCTCTGAGAAATAGGAAATGCCATTCATGTCACAATGGAAATTGCTGCTGCGAACTCATGAGTCCCAGAGCTTTAGAGCATACAAATGCTATCTCAAGTGACCTACTCCTCACCAGCCTTCTTCTCTTGCTAGCTTTACTTGAAGGAACCACTAGTACTAAGGTTTTAAAAAAAATACACAAAACCACAAGGAAAAGCAAAGCAGACTATGGTTGGAATGAAGGCTCCACCCTGCTTCCCTGATTCCTTTGCTCCCAGGGCCCTCCAGGCCAAAAGCCCTATTCCAAAGCACTGGAGAATTTATTTGTGGACTGAATTCTATTCTGTGGACCTCCTTCCTACTGCACCTATCCTCAGAGCTCTATACTCAGTGGGAAGGACTTGCCATCTTCTCTCAGAACGACAAGAGGTGAGCAGGTGATAACCAGCCACATGACAGGACTGAGACAGGTTGAGCCCAAAGAAACCCTTCCCCCTCCAGCGCTAGGGAATGAGGAGCTGAGGTACCCACCCAATGGGCTTTGGAACGGACATGTTTACTTCAGTCAGGGCAGCTGTCATCATTTCCAAATGTTGTGGCCTCCAGAAGTGACCACACACAACATACACGAGACATACCCACAGGGTAACGATGCTATTTTTTTTCTTTCAACATACAAACAAGTTTCCTTAATTCCCAAATTAGTTCATTTTTTTAATTCCCCAATACAGGGTCTTTATTCATTTTTACTAGAGAGACAGGCCAGCAAGGATGCACATTTCAGTAGGCTTTCTTACGGGAAGCATTCTCTCAGGCAGATCTCCAAGACTCAGGCTCACACAGCTCAGGATTATATTCTATACTGGACCCATCTGAACCTCCTACATCAGACTTAGTCCCAAAGATGTTCTGGTAATTTCCACATATCAAATTTACTCCTCACCTCCAAGAAAGATTTGTTAACAAAGAGAATTTTCATAAGTATACGCTTGAAAGTAATTCCAAAAGAGGGGCATTGCAAAACCTTTCCAAACCTGACCAAGAGCCACAACAATGAAATATAGTCTCTTTAAGGTACAAGGAGGAAAGGATACAGTGATTTGGATGTGTTAGTTCTGGTATGTTTGTATCTCCAAGACAGAAAAGGCCCCCAAGTCGTCTCATTGTATATTCACCTTGAATAATAAGACAGGCAGAAATACAGTAATGGGTTTTGGAAAGGAAAATTCAACTGCCAGTCAGACAATACATGACTGTGACTTCACCCTGCTTGCTTTGATGAAAAACTGAAGCTGAGTTCCACCATCAAGAATCAACGGAACAGACAAGTTCCTGGGATAATATTTTGTTTGGCCCTAATCTACAAAATCTGGAAGAGCAAGGCAAACACACACACACACACACACAATTTAGTATAAAAACTAAGTTTTAAAAAAAGCATAGGCCCTTAATATGCACCTATCCACCGGTTCTGAATGATGCCCCATCCCATACAAACACACCAAGGAAACAAGTGGTGGTAATCTGTAAACATTATGCAGACACCCTAATAAACAGAAAAGCAAAATAGGAAAGAAAAAACTCCTTTTTCAACAAGGTTTTATTTAGAACAAAAAATTTTAAGAAATTCATTTTAAAGTCAAGAAGTTTGTAGTTAACCACTGTTAAATATATGGTATTTATTTGCCCTAAGTGGAAAGCAGAGAGAGATTGGGGGGTGGGGGAAGAGAGAGGGAAGAAAAATTCTAAGAATTTGGAAAACTAACCAAGTTAACACACTCTGGGGCTGGAAAAATACATTGCCAAGATAGTGCTCCTTGAAATGTCCTCTAGGGGGCACTAGAGAGGTAGGATTGAGACTGACTTGGGAATCACAGTCATTTCTGGTAAAAGTTCTTTGATGTGAGGAATGTCCCAGCCTGGTACAGTTGGCAAAAGTTCACTCTGGGGAATTTTGTGCGTATGTGTGCATGTGTGCTTGTGCGCGAGTGCCTTGGGAAAGAGTGGCTGAGGAAGAAAAGAGTACATCTGATATTCCTTCATTCCAAAAAAGAAATGCCCCATTTAATTTATTTTCACAACTTATCTGAGACACAGGCAGATAGCAGCCTTGGAAAAGTTCTGTGTCTTGTTATTGTTTTGTTTTTTTGATTAAAGGGGGCCTGGCTGATGAAAACAAGTTATGAAATGACCTATGTTTGTGTAACTGGCTGTATTGCGTAATGCTGAGGCCCTGAAACCGTAACAGCCAAGCAGCCAGGAAGGGCACAGATCTGGAGGTGTTGTCCCAGAAAGTTAGGAGACAGAAAATAACAACCATAACAAAAAGCAGAATGGGGGGAGGGGTGGTGCGTGTGCACGTGAGCACATGTGTGCACACACACATGCGTGCAATTATTCCTAACCAAACAAAACCATCAGTGATCAATCTTTGAGATTAAAATTATAACTACAACAGGAAATTTTTTCACATTCAAGTTCCTGCAATCAAGGCTTTAACAAAGAGATGTTCCCCCACGCGCACCACAAAGCCACGGGAACTTGTGGCCATACATTAAGATGAAGCCCTATGAAGCTGGGAAGGAGAGTAAAGCACTGGCCTGCAAACTTGATTTTTAAAAAATGTAATATTCAATTGCTCAAGGGAAAAACCAGAGAACACCTTACGCTGATTGATCCATAAAGAAGGAAGGACCATTCACTAACCACCCAGAAAAGACTCCCTGATTAAGGAAGCTGAAAAGAAATAAAGTGATTATAGTCTTTATCTGGTATGTAATAAAGTTACCTAGAGCCTGGATGGGGTGGGGTCATTGCACAGACTTGTGAAGTAACAAAAGCCTGAGTCTAGTCTTTGGGACTACAGGGCAGTTTTGTTCTGAGTGGGGGTGATAATGGAAAAATCCTCTCCACTGCTGATCCTCGCTGTTCCCCCCCCACCCCCACCCCCCCGCAAGGAGTGGGCAGAGAAACTTGGCTAAAACAGCATTGCTTTGCCAATCCTAGTTTGAAAGGTGCTTCCATCACGCTGTTGGGCCGACCGGGCAGACAGACATGAGCACCCAGTATACTGCTTGTTGCTAATTGCAAAATCCTCATGTGTTACAGCATGCTAGGAATTAGCCAACAGCTGCTTTTTGCTTCGGTAATGAGGCACCATTACACTCTGCTGGACTCAGTTCTCTTCCTTCATTCTAGCACTGGTTTCCTGTCTGATTGGCTTCCAAAACAGGGAATTGCCTTCACTCACATCCTGGGCTCAAAGCCCTAGTGACACAGATTATTCAGCTGGGGCACTGATGTCCGGTCTGACTTCCCATCCAGGCCCCAGGGTCTAAGAGAAGCCAGGCAGGGAGATTACCCATGATCACAGACAGCCTCAGACAAGCTAGCAAATGAAGAAATCCAAAGATCCCTTCCTGATCCAGGAAAGAAGAGAGGAGAGTTCGGGGTTTGTTGAGAAGTAAGAGAAGAGATATAGATGACTAGCATAGCTGAATGATACTGGATTCAACACAAACCACCAACGGGCCAGAAAGCAAATATAATCATCAACTTTTTGGATTAGGTTTGTAACGCCTCACCTTGCTGCCCACAGGCAGCCACCTCGAAGCACACATTAGGCTCTCTATAGCAGATGATGAGAGGGACGCGAGGCGGCTACAAAAACCATTTGGGGGACTCACCAGGTGTGGAGGGACATCACTTCCAATTCCAAACAAAGTCCTGATTCTCTTATGCCTCCAGTTGTACCCACTCCTCCCTAGAGCTAACTCCAGCCCTACTGTCTAGCTAGCTCTGGTGGCCAAGGCCAACTGCCTTTTGAAGCAGCTCAGGCTGTGGGTCAACTTGGCTAGAGACTCAGACTCTGACCCAGGTGGACTTCAGGTTGCAGAGAGCCAGCGCCGTCCCAAGGGAGGAAGGGGGGGCCACCGCAGAAGCCAGGCACCCCACCAGCACCACTACCCCACCAGCACCTCTCTGGTATTTATAGACAGGCAGATCATAGGCGCAAACCCTCCAGTGCAAACCAGTCGGGCTGCTTTAGAAAGAGTTGTTTTTCTGCTTCCAGAACCACCCAGGAGCTCCGATGATGTCTCTTTCTCCCACTTCTTTCTGCCCGCTTCCTTGCCAGATACCCCAAGTCCTTCAAGGAGCTCCTCCAGGGGGGCAACGCAAGCTCCTGCCCGGACCCTTACAGGAAACTGGAGAGAGCCATTCCCAGGCGGTGCCCGGAGCCAATCAAGGCCGGCTTCTTCCTTCCTGACCTTCGCACCTGATTCCCAGAGGCGCCCGTCCCCCCTCCCTTCACTCGGGGTTACTCGGAAGGAGCCCCAACCTGGGTTCTGAGGCGCTAACTTACTTTCAAAAATAAACCAAGGCTGATGGAGAACATGGGAAAAGAGAGAGAGGGCTCCCGCCCCCCCCCCGCAGGAGCAAGGACCCGAGCTGCGGGGGGGGGGGTGAGAATCGTGGGCGCGAAGCTTTCTTCGTCTGTCCACCAGTCTGTCCACCATGGAGAAAGGAGAAAGTGGAATGGGGGGGAGGGGGGGTCTTGAATGGAAGCAACAGGCTCCCGGGAGAGGCCCTGCGATTCCAAGAGCTTACGTAGAACAGAGGGAGCATGAAGCAACAAATGTGTTTGCTCTGCGAGCCCATTATCCGCTCCAGTTTAAAAAAGAAGAGAAAAGTGGTGGGGATGGGTGGAGCAGAAAAAAAGAAAGAAAGAAAGAAAATGTATCCACAATACGATAGTGGCCGGGTAAGGCAAGAAAGGGGAAAGAAAGCGGGGCGAGGGGAGGGGGGTAGTGCAGTAAGAGGAGGACGAGGGTCCGCCCGCGCCGCCAGGTGCACGGGGCCCCGGCACCTACCTGCTGGCCGCCGCCGCCGCCGCTGGAGTAGGACTCGGCGTGCGCAGGAGAGCCGCTGCTGCCCCGGGACGAGGTGTCAAAGTTCCCGGGATAATCCTGGTACATGATCCGCGGTGGGGGCCAGAGAGGAAACAGGGTGTTCTTCTTCCCCCGCCCTCGCCGCGACCGCGCGCGCACGGCCGCGCGCTCGCTCGTCCGCCGGCCGCGCCGCGGGCTCGGGTCTTCGCTCTCCGGCTGGGCCCCACAGCGGCGGGCGCGGACCGGGAAGCGGCGACACCCGGGGAAGTGTCGCCCGGCACGGTTTTCCTGCTCGGCGAGCGCCGCGGGGACCAGTCGTCACCCCCGGTCCCTCCTTCTAAAAAAGTCGGCGCGTCCCTCGCTCGCTCCCCGGCGCGCGCCCTCCCGCCCCCGCGCCCGATCCTCCGCCGGGACCGGCTGCCCGAAGAACTGGGGATCAAAAGAGAATCGGGACCCAGTGGGTGTCGCTGGCCAAGCCCGGAGGACCCACGATCTCAGAGAGGGCAGGGGGAAAAAGAGAAAGAGAGGGGGGGGAGGTGAAAAGACAGGCTGCCCGGCTTGGAGAAACTTCTATTTCCTCCTCTTAGAAAATCAGCCCGAGAATAAACTTCCTGTGGCCGCCTGGCCGCCTGAGTTTCCGAGCGGCTCGGACACTTGACTAGCCGGCAGCCTGCGCCCGTCCCGGGGCCCCGATCGCGCGAGCGACACGATGCCTGTGGGCTCCCAGCGGAGTCCGCGCTGAAACGGACACGGCACAGCGACCAGCACCCCTCGCCCGCGCCCGCTCCCGGACGGGCCGGCCTCGCGCGTCCGCGCCTCGCCCTCGCTCTCCTCTCTCTCTCGTTCTCCCTGCCCCTGCTGAGCGCCGCTCGCTCGCTCGCTCGCTCGCTCGCTGGTTCGCTCGGAGCCCCTGCGCTCTGCCCGAGATGAGTCACTACAATGGCACGAGTTCAACTCCACACTCTTATTCTCTAGCCCCGCACCATGTGGATCCACTCACGTCAACTCAGACTCCACCTTGCAGGGAGGAGCGCGCGAGGAGGCGGAGGAGGGAAGAGAGGGGCGGGAGGAGGGGGGAGGGAGAGAATGGAGGAGGGGGGGGGAGACGGCCCAGGAAGAGGAGGGAGAGGCGCGGGAGGGGAGGAGGCGGGCGCCGTGCTCCCCGCCCTGCCCCAGCTCGCGGTCGTGCTGACGCCAGCCGCACACCCCGCGCGGGGAAGGGAGGCGGTGGTGAAGGTGGGAGCCGGCAGGCCGCGCGCTCCGGCGGGGTCGAGACCGCCGGGCCCCTTCCGCACCCCCACGCCCCCCTCGGGCGCAGCGCCCTTGGTCTATTCCATTGGCGCACGTTGCCAAAGATGGTCATTTGCGTTAGAGGACGCGAGTGCGGGTTTCCTCGCATTCGGGTGACGTGGAGGGAGAGGGAATCCCTCGCCCGCTCCCGAGCGCGCCGCGGCCTCCCCCTCCCGCCCCTGGAAGGGGCGCGGGGCGGGGCCCCGAGAGCCGCCGCGCGGGCCCCGGCTCCAGGGTTTAGAAAACAATCACGGTCCTGAAGACAAGACGGGCGGCGCGGCGCCACCGCGAGGCCGAGCGCCCGGCGCGCAGAGCGGCTCGCAGGGAGGGCGCGGCTGTGCGCGGTCGCCCGCGCCCTGAGCGGCGCCGCCCGGTGCAGCGGGCGCCCTGGGCGCGCTGGATACCCGCGCCGCCCTGCGGCCGGCTCCCGGCGGGGCGGGGTGCGGCCGGCGCGGCGCCGCCAGGCGAGGCCAGGCGAGGCTGGCCGGCCTATTTTCCCCCTCCGTGGCGGGCTGCCCACCGCTTCCCTTTTTGTGTGTGTTTCTGTGCTTTTTTCCTTTAAATTGTTTTTACTTTTTTTTTTCAGTCCTACAATTAATTCGTTTAGGCCTTGAAGACCAAACGAGCCCGCCTAAGCCAGGCCACGAACGAGCTCATGTCATGGGAGTAATCGGCCCTTTGCAAAGGCCAGGCTGTTCAGAATGTATTTAATAATAATAATAACAACAACAACAACAACAGGGGTGGGGGCGGCCACGGCGAGGGTGTGCCCCAAGTTGTCTTCAGCTGTTTTGGAGCAAAGTTCAGGGCGTGCGGAGCCGGACTCCGGGTCCTCCCGCCTGGCTGGGTGGGGCGCGCTTAGGATAGGGAGCAACTGGCTCCAGTGCGAACTGTGCTCTTTACGAGCTGTGAGGTCTCGGGCGAGTCGCTCAACTTCCCATGTCAACGTGCCCAGGAACGAGGACCTTCTAAGGCCTTGGTCTGCTCCGGAGTCCCAATCCTTTGGCAGAGATGATGTGGTTCGACCTTACAGAAAGAAGCACTGTACCCGGAGCCTGGGAATTTTAGGCCCGGGTTTAGGATCTGTCTTACCCACCTCTCTAAATAGCGCCATCTGGATTTCAAGGGGGACTTAGGAAGGCTTGGTGGGTTGTGGGGCTGCTGGACGGACCGCCAGGCGCTGTGAGACCGATCACATCCCGGCTCCAGTCCTCAGTTTCTTTATCTGTGAAGTGGGGGCGTTGTGAGGGAAGAAAAAAAAATAGAGCCGGGAACTCGAAGCGTTCCTGGGGCTCTATATAAAGCGCTGGCGTTTCCGGGACGGCTGGCGGTATCGCCGCCCCAAGGGCCTCAAGATACGGTAATCCCAAACAATACTCGGGGGTCATTGTTTACACGATGAAACACTTTTTGTCCCGAGCGCCATCCCCAAGGACGTGCGCACGCAGTGAGACGAGGCCTGCCCGCCTGGCCGTGCCTCCGCCGCGGCCCGCACGGCTGCGCCCGGAGCTCCGCGGGCCCAGGCGAGGGGTGTGGGGCGTGCGTGCACGCACACCAGCCGCGGGCGCATGGTTGTTCTCTCGCTCGCTCTCGCTGTCTGTTTCAACCCCTGCGTCCTGGCCTGCCGGCGTGTTTACGCGCCTCTCCCAGCAGGACTGAGTAAATGCAGTCCTTTGACGCAAAACGGATCAGCCCTTCCCCAACGGCAGGAGCGGCAGCAGAACCCAGAAACCCGGGGGTGGGGATGGGGGCAGGGCGCAGGAGGAATCGTGACATTTGCCCACTCTCCTCTCGGTCTCCTCCCCGCGCCACGCGGGCCCTCGGCCGCCCGGGCTGAGTCCGGGGGCTGCGGAGAGCAGCGCGGCGGGAGCGCGGGGCCTCCCCGGAGCGGCCGCGGGCCGGAGCGGCGCGGACACAACGCACTTTTGGTTTTCCTCTGAGCATCAGCGCCAATCCGATTCTCTCCATCTCCCCCCCCCCCACGCCCCCATTATGAGCTCGAAAATCCGGGTGCTTCTGGGTCTCTCCCACACACGTCCTTCCAGTAACCCGGGAGGAAAAGAAGGAGGGGGCAGGGGAACCGGGGCTTCCTCCGCGATCTCGGCCGCCCGGGGCGCGCCCAACTACGGACCGGCGCCGCCGGGAGCGCGCCTACGGGCGAGCGCCCCCTCGCTCACCGGCTCGCCCACCCCGCACCCCCGGGTCCTTTCCTTTCTTGTGGGTTCCCGTAAAGCCCAGCAGCCCCCAGACGTCTGCCGAGCATCACGGAATCTGTGCTGATGCAAGCCGCTGGCCTCCCTTTGGTGCGCCCGGCCTGCCTCTGCGCTTTGATCCTGCCCTTGCCCTGCTCCAGAACTTGTGCTGCCTTTCACCGGGCGCCCGCCGGGGGCCCCGAGATCCACCACGGTCCGTCCCTAACACCCTGGACACAGAGCTGCTCGCTGGGGGCTGCCAGGCTCCTGACGGATCTCCCGGTTCCATCTGAAGCCCAGCCGAGAATGCAGCCTGCAAGCCCAGCGCCGCGCCCTCTCCTCTCCGTGGGAAGTCCTCCCGGCCTCGCACTTGGGGAGTTCTGGGAGGGCTACGCAGAGCTTTCTGACGCGCACTAGCCGAGTCAAGTGCCATTCGGGGAAACAACAAAACAAAACAAAATCGGCTCCTGGAATCCACACAAGGGTTTGGGGTGGGTCTCATTCCGCGGTTGCTGATGAAGAAAAGTGAGATTGAGATTGAGTACCTTGTCCCGGGAAACTGAGGAGTGGGTGGGGAGTCAGCTGAGATTCTCTAGACACCTGGCTCTTCCCCCTGGCCGAGTCTGCCTCCGTCAGGATGTGTTTCTCACTTGGGGGGGGGGTCTCCTGAAACCACGAACTACAAATGCCCTGGCTTTAACTTACCAGTGCTCCTTGCGCTCTCAGTTGAGCAAATAAACAACCCTAGCGCTCACTCAGCCCTAGCAAGGGGTCGTGTAGACCGAGGGAAGGAAGGAGACAAGGTAGGCTGGGAGAACAGGGCTGTTGGGGTTCTTCTCACCCTCTGCCCTGCCCCGCCCCAAGTTTCCTTGGTTATCCATCGGCCCAGTATTTGACCCCCAAGAAATGACTTGGGACCCCCAGTTGGGCGCCCTCTCTGGGCTGCAGCGGCGTGCACAGTTCAGAAAGGGTTCCATGCCGGAAGCCTGGAGCCTCATACACACATGAACTCACGTGTCTTTCTATAAACACTACATGGGATGTGGAGAAGCAGCGAAGAACAGAGTGGTAGAGCAGCTTCCCCAAGACTGCCCAGCATGTGGACTGCCCAACCGAACTCAAGCCATCTCACCTGACTTAAACCCCGTGTTCTGCCAACCTTGAAAGGATAGGAGCAAATTCCACTCTATGATAAACTGTCCTCTTATCTGTCATATCTGAACAACTCTGCCATCATTTTTTATAGCAAACCACACATCTTGATGATGGCTTGACATTTCTGAAAGCCAGCTGTATCTCGTAATTGATACCTGTTTATTTAATACGGAAATGTTTCCAGTTGCATAAAGACTATGAACTGGTCAGAGAGAATCAGGAAGTGGATTTCAGCCCAGATGGTTCAAAGGGAGAGGTCTTGCTGAGAAATCTCCTTTAACTCCCATCTCTGGCTGATCATCTGACTGGAGGGCTGACCAAGGCAACCCTGAAAGGTTGGCTTCCCAGCAACTGTTCTAACCTGATCCACATCTTGGGGGAAGGAGCTGTGTGAGAAGGATGTTGTTCCCTCCTGCAGCCTCTCTTGGGTCACCTCTTTGAAGTCCCAAGGAGACCCTCACTACTTAGGGATTGTGTGAGGTAACACTAGACTTCTCCGATCAGGAATCCTATTTTGTGTATGGGACAGATATACCCCAAGAAGAAGATCAGAACA